AGAGAGAGAGGGAGGGAGGGAGGGAGGGAGGGAGGGATAGGGAGAGAGAGAGAGAGAGAGAGAGAGAAAGAGAGACCCCAACCTTATTAAGCTGCAGCACCCGTTTCTTGACATCTTCCACGCCAAAGGTGTTGGTGATGGCAGGAAGCTCGTCGCGGCTCCACTCTTTCTCCGGCTGGTCGATGAACCCCTGAGGACAGTGATTTTGTTAAGTTTAGTTTAGTACCGGGTTTTACGGCGCTCGCAACTGCATAAGGTCATATGAGCGCGTTTACGGTTCTTGCAAAACAAAAAGGTCATATAAGTGCAGAAGATAGGATTGTTACAAGGGAGTAACAAACACAATAAAAGAAGGAGCAGAGATCAGGATGATAGATGTTTGATAGGAAAGAAGGAGCAGATCACATCAGGGCACCCGCCAACCACCCACAGATGTATCCTTGAGCAAAACACAATGATAGCTCTAGCTAGGAAAAAACAAGGCGCAGCACAGTGGAGACAAGAAATGGTATGTGAAAAAGATTTTGTCTGTATTGGCGATTTTGAGTTTCAGTAAGAGCTTTACGGCACTTGCATAGGAAACACGACATATAAATGCTGACAATTGGTGGTGTTTCTATCAAAGAGTAACATAGAAAGAACATATGGAGAAGAGATAAGGATGAAAGATGTTTGATAAGAAAGAAAGAACAAACCACAGCAGAGTGTCCACCAATCAACAATCTCTGACTTTAGCAAGAAAGAAAAGGACAAAAAACCAACCCAAACCCCCAAGAGTACTGAACAATGGCCACCAGCAATTGTGCATGTGAGTAAGACTTTCTGTACAAGTGTGATATTGTGGTTTTTGTCATGTTGATCAATTACTGTAAGTCCGTATTGATAATTGTAACTCAACAAAAAAATTTCCACACAGCACCCTCAAAAGTGGTATTCTATTTATTCATCTTATTAATCTTTTACTAATTAAAGGTAGTTGGGGTTATCAATTTGTTTGCATTAGTAATGTTTTACGAAGCTCGCAACTACATAAGGTCATATGAGCGCCAAGGGGTGGATGTCAACAGAGAAGTCCTTACAGGGAATCAGACTTACTCTGCTCACCTCTCTAGCTTCAACAGCACAAAGTCTGCTTCGACTACCAAGGCACCTCGGAAATAGCGGGTCACAAGAGTGTGACAAACATACAAAAGAAGTAGAGGGAAAATGACGATAGCAAGGATTATAAAAGAAAAAGTAGCAGTTCCCTGTTGCAGTTCAGGCCACAGTTATGAGCATGACATTGATAAATCAGCCCATTTACAATTCTACTGTGCATGAGAACATGTTAATATCCTCCCTTTGAGAATGGCCTAAAGGCACTCCAGTCAGTAGCACTGTCCCAGGGGATAAGACTATTGTGTGCAGAAAAAACTTTGAGGTTTGAAAAAGAGGGGCCGACTTACCTGAGCGTGATCATAGCTTAGCTTGACACAGGACCGAATGACCGACCGGCCGTACCACTCATCAAAGATCTGCAGGACAAACAGATACAGAATTATAGTATTGTAGTGTAAGAGGTATTCTGGAAAAAATACTGGCAACTCCCATTTTGGCCCTAGCATTAAACATTTTTTTTTAGAAATGTTTTACAGCACTTTCCACACAATTAGGTCATACAAGAGCCGAATATTAGAGGTGTTACAAGAGAGTAACAAACACAAAAAAGGAGGAGGAGAGATAAGGACGATAGATGTTTGATAGGAAAGAAGAAGCAAACCACACCAGAGCACCCGCCAACCACCCACAATCTCCCATTATGGTAGTGGAATTCCAATAGTAACTTTACAGGAGTTGGGGCTAGTAAGGACGTATGGTTAGGATTACAGTGATAGATGAGGCTGGGGACAAAACCAGATTATACACATTGAGGCAAGTGTCTCTTTTTAACACCTCTCCATTAGTTTTGTTTCAGTGAGAATCTGATGGCACATGCAACACATACTGCTCATAAAAGTGTGGAAGATTAGAGAGTCTCATGGCACATGCAACACAAACTGCTCATAAAAGTGTGGAAGATTAGAGAGTCTCCCTATACAAAGTGGACTGTCCCACTCACCTATCTCCCCGTGTCTCCCTATACAAAGTGGACTGTCCCACTGACCCTGAGACCCTCTGTGTCTCCCTGTACAAAGTAGACTGTCCCACTGACCTATCTCCCCATGTCTCCCTATACAAAGTAGACTGTCCCACTGACCCTGAGACCCTCTGTGTCTCCCTTTACATAGTGGACTGTTCCGCCCTGTGTCTCCCTATACATAGTGGACTGTCCCACTGACCCTGAGACCCTCTGTGTCTCCCTTTACAAAGTGGACTGTTCCGCCCTGTGTCTCCCTATACATAGTAGACTGTCCCGTTGACCCTGAGACCCTCTGTGTCTCCCTTTACATAGTGGACTGTTCCGCCCTGTGTCTCCCTATACATAGTAGACTGTCCCGTTGACCCTGAGACCCTCTGTGTCTCCCTTTACATAGTGGACTGTTCCG